GACCAGGGGTGCCTGGGTGGCTTAGTAGATTAAACGTCCAACTTCCGCTCAAGTCATGATCTCACAGTGTAAATTCTAGCCCCTCACTGGGCTCTGTGCTGACAGCTCAGAGTTTGGAGCCTGCTTTGGATTCTGTGTCTCCCTCTCTCTCTGCCCCTCCCTTGCTTGTGCTCTGTCTCTCTCTCTCCCTCTCAAAAATGAGTAAACATTAAAAAAAATTTTTTTTAATTTAAAGCCAAGACCAAAAGGTCAAAGAAATAGAAGATCTCGTGAAGTCAGAGCTGCTCATCAGTAGTCCTCAATTGCTTATCTTTTTTTTTTGGAGTATCTAGTTTTAGTGAACCACAAATTAAACAAAATGTCTCTCAAGACAGGGCAGAAACACATAATTTTAAACTTTGTATTAGTATCAATATATTGGTACATTCTAAAAATGCTGATCTGCAGCAGATTCTTTTTTTTTTCAATTGCTTATCTTTGAAGAAGAGAAATATTAAAAAGATTGTTACCGAGTTGGTAAAATGAAAAAATAAAATCTGTTATCCTCAAGCAATGCATTTTCCAATTTAGTAAAAAAGTAGTTTATTAAGAATAGGTGGAAACTTCCTTAATATATGGTATGTATATGTGTGCCTGTGTCTGTGTCTCAGTGCTATACACATCCTATTTATTTATTTATTTTATTTATTTATTTTTTAATGTTTATTTTTGAGACAATGCGAGAGACAGAGTGCAAGCAGTGGAGGGGCAGAGCAGACAGGGAGACACAGAATCCAAAGCAGGCTCCAGGCTCTGAGCTGTCAGCCCAGAGCCAGACGCGGGGCTCAAACTCACGAACTGTGAGATCATGACCTGGGCCAAGGTCGGATGCTCAACCTACTGAGACACTCAGACGCCCCTACACATCTTATTTATTGATAAAACAACAATCTCATAAGATTATGAGGAAAACAATTTCCATTGTATTTTTAACATTGTTCTAGAAATATTAGATAATTGAGAGAAGAAACAATTTATATAATTTGTAAAAGAGGAATTAAAATCATTAGATAATTATCCTAAGCAAATGTTGATTTAAGATGGATAGCCACAGGATATTTATGAAATATCTAATAATCCCTATGGAAAATTTTCCTCACCAAATCTGTCCCAAAAAGGCCAGGGTTTTCAACCAAGTCTTTTAAATGATAATCAAATTTGAAAAATCCTTACAAATCTTTACAAACAACACAGGGAACCTTTTTCTATTTACATTTACAGTTAAATTTCTGTTGTAGCCTCCTTAGTAAGTAATGTATGCACATATTATAAGATATAAAAGGTATTCTATTTATTTATTTTTTAATGTTTATTTCGTTTTGAGAAAGAGAAAGAAAGCATAGGCAGGGGAGGGGCAGAGAGAGTCCAACGTGGAGCTCGAACTCGTGAACCACAAGATCATGACCTGAGCCGAAGTTGGAGGCTTAACCAACTGAACCACCCAGGTTCAGTATTTTAAACAGATATTTGATGAAAAGTCAGTCTTCCTCCAGCCCTGTCAGAAACAGTCACTGGTACCAGTTTTTTATATATCCTTTAAGAGATGTTTTAGGCATATGCAAAGTTAGTTTCTCTCTTAATCTTTTTACGTTTATGGTAATGTGCCACATAAACAGTTCTGTACCTTGTTTTTATTTTGTTAGTAATATTATCATGCAAACTGTGCCAAATCAGCACAAAATACATTTTTAATCACCCAGTGCTCATCATTATAGGTGCACTCTTTAATCCCCATCACGTATTTTACCCATCCCCCGCCCCCCCACCTCTCCTCTGGTAGCCATCAGTTTGTTCTCTATAGTTAAGAGTCTGTTTCTAGGTTTGTCTCTCTCTTTTTCCCCATTGCTCATTTGTTTCTTAACTTCCACATATGAGTGAAATCGTATGGTATTTATCTTTTTCTGACTGACTTATTTTGTTTAGCATTACATTCTTTAGCTCCATCCATCCATGTTGTTGCAAATGGCAAGGTTTCATTCTTTTTATGGATGAGTAGTATTCCACTGTATATATATATACCACATCTTCTTTATCCATTCATCAATCAGTGAACTCTTGGACTGTTTCCATATTTTGGCTGTTGTAAATAATGGGGCAGGGGCACCTGGGTGGCTCAGTCGGTTGGGCATCCGACTTAGCTCACGTCATGATCTTACAGTCTGTGAGTTTGAGCCCCGCGTCAGGCTCTGTGCTAACAGCTCAGAGCCTGGAGCCTGCTTTGGATTCTGTGTCTCCTTCTCTCTCAGCTCCTCCCCTGCTCATGCTCTGTCTCTCTCTGTCTCAAAAATAAATAAAAACATTAAAAAAAATTGTTAATAAAAAAATAAAGAATAATGGGGCAATAAATATGGGGGTGCATGTATCCCTTTGAATTAGTGTTTTTGTATCCTTTGGGTAATACCCAGTAGTGCAATCGCTGGATCGTAGGGTAGTTCTATTTTTAACTTATTGAGTAACCTCCATACTGGTTTCCAGAGTGGCTGCCCAGTTTTCATTCCCACCACCAGTGCAAGAGGATTCCTTTTTCTCCACATCCTCCCAACACCTTTGTTTTCTTGTGTTGATTTTAGTCATTCTGACCAGTGTGAGGTGATATCTCATTGTAGTTTTGATTTGCATTTCCCTGATGATAAGTGATGGTAAAGCATCTTTTCATATGTCTGTTGGCCATCTGTATGTCTTTTGGTTAATTTTTTGTTTCGTTTTTTATGTCTTTTTTGGAGAAATATCTTCATGTCTTCTGCCCATTTCCTAATTAGATTATTTGTTTTTCAGTGTTGAGTTTTATAAGTTCTTTATGTATTTTTGATACTAGCCCTTTATTAAATATATCATTTGCAAATATCATCTCCCATTCTGTAGGTTGCCTTTTAGTTTTGTTGATTATTTCCTTTGATGTGCAGAAGCTTTTTACTTTGATGTAGTCCCAATAGCTTATTTTTGCTTTTGTTTCCTTAGCCTCAGGAGACAGCTCTAGAAAAAAGTTGCTACAGCCAATGTCAAAGAGGTTACTGCCTGTGTTCGCTTCTAGGATTTTTATGGTTTCAGATCTCACAGTTAGGTCTTTAATCCATTTTTAATTTATTTTTGTGTATGGGATAAGAAAGTGGTCCAGTTTCATTCTTTTACAAGTTGTTGTTCAGTTTTCCAAACGCCATTTGTTGAGGAGACTTTTTTCCATTGGATACTTTTTCCTGCTTTGTCAAAGATTAATTGACCATAGAATTGTGGCTTTATTTCTGGGTTTTCCATTCTGTTCCATTGGCCATGTGTCTGTTTTTGTGCCAGTACTATACGGTTTCGATTTCTACAGCTTTGTAATATAACTTGAAGTCTGAAATTGTGATGCCTCCAGCTCTGCTTTTCTTTTCCTAGGTTGTTTTGGCTATTCGGGGTCTTTTGTAGTTCCATACAAATTTTAGGATTGTTTGTTCTAGTTCTGTGTGAAAAAATGCTGTTGATATTTTGATAAGGATTGCATTAAATGTGTAGGTTGCTTTGGATAGTATGGACATTTTATCAATATTTTTTCTTCCAATCCATGAGCATGGAATGTCTTTCCATTTCTTTATGTTGTCTTCACTTTCTTTCATCAGTGTTTTATAGTTTTCAGAGTACAGGTCTTTCACCTCTTTGGTTAGGTTTATTCCTAGGTATCTTATTTACAACATTTTTTAACAACTGCAAAATTAGTTTATGGTGATAAACTGTAACCAGTTACATATTTAGGTTGCTTCCAACCTTTTGCTATTACAAGCAGGACTGCAAAGAAGAGCCTGGTATATATGTGTTTTTGAGTAGACATGTAAGCACATTTGGAAGTTAAATTCCTAAATGTGAAATTGCTGGGTCAATGGGTAAATCCATGCATAATTTTGTCAAGTTGTTCTCATGGAGTCTGACAGTTTTACTAATTGGCAATGTCACTAATGTGTGAGTGCTTACTAATGGGTAATATCAACTACTGGATAATATCAACTTTATAATATATTAGATTCCTATATGAATTTAGACTGTTCTCCAGCTTTCTCGTATCCACCAGGGTAGGCTAGGTTAAACCGCCATAACAAACAACCTCAAACTCTTAGTGGTTTATAATAAGAAATTTCTTTCCTTTTGGTACATGTCCATGAAGGGTTGCTGGAGGCTCAGCACCATGACTTTCACTCAGTAACTTAGGCCAACAGGGTTGCCACCATCTTGAACATTGCTCTTTGTCCTGGCTAAAGGGAAGAGGGCCCTGGAGAGTCTCACACCATCAGTATAGTCATACATGTGCCCAGAAGATGGAAAACTGGAGATATTTGGTAAACTGCAGCTATGATTAATTATCACATCTCTATTCTGGCCTGTAATCTGTCAGTTCATGTGGTAGTAACACAAGTTTTTCTTTTTTGGAATATGTCTGCTATTTTCCCATTTTCATTTTTCCTGTTGAACTAGAACTAGCTTCTCTAACTACCCTCCAGCCTCCAGAAAAAAAAGCCAAATTATGGCAGTATTTTTCATTTTGTCTGCATTAAATTTATAGATTTAAAGAAAATTGATAATCTTTATAATATTGAGTTTCCACAACCAAGAAGCAGATATATATTTTCAGTTATTTACATCTTCTTTTGTATCTTTCATATTTTCTTAATATGTATTGTGTATATTTATTAGTAAGTATTCTTTTTTATTTTACTGTCATCTGCAAATAATCATTTAAATTCCTTCTGTATAATCAAGTTGGTTTTCTTGAAGGAATAGAAAAGATAACCATTTCTCAAATAACATATCCATAACATAATCAAAAAAATTTTTTTTTAAGTTCATACTGAAGATTTTTCTTTTCATGATCCATCTTTTTAATAATTCTAGTAAATAAGTAGATTAGCATTACACCAACAATAATACATTTACTCCAGCAACTAGAAGCACTTACCAATTTTTAAGAATTATATTTGTTTTGTGCTCTGCAGGTGTCTATTATGCCCACCTGTACAAGAACCCAGGAGATGATGAGCCATTAATGTAGAATAAGATCTGGCTCTAAAGAAAGAGGCTCACTGGCCCATTCATCAAACTTGAGAGATGTTGAAAATTAAACATCCCCAGGTAATTAGAGTATAGTTTTGAGTGACACAGGCATTGCTCTCCTGTTACATTTTTATTTCTTTTGTTGTGAGAAAAAAACATTTGTGGGGGGAATCAGCTTATTTCTAAAAGTAAGCAGGTATTATATTACATTTAGGGTTTGTTTTCATGCTAAGAATGAGAACTGCTCATTACATCTCACTTCTTTGTACTGCCTTTGTAATTATGATGTAAAGTTCAACCTGAGAGTATTTTCCTTCTTTACAGCTTCTCATTTTGTACTCCTATCTCAGCATTATTCTGCTCTTTTTCCTACAATCCATACTCTTTTAAGAGTTCCGTCCTTAATCACAAGACTGAATCACAAGACTGAATTAAATATAAGTTGGTCATTAAGTGCTGATAAGCGGATTATTTGTGAAATTATATTGTATGTATGGTTGTGCTTAGGACAGAGGTCAGAAAGGAATACAAGACATCAAATTTGAATACCTCACCATCATCAAAGTGAAGTCTCATAAAAATCTGATGGAATGATTTAAACTGAAAATAGAGACTTTACACAAAAATGGAGAGAAAGTCTTTATGGAGCCAACACAGAATAATTACTGGGAATATGACAGAGTGAAAAGAGACCCACCAAAATAACAAACATCTGAAATATAAAATGTATAAGAAGACAGAGTTCAGTTGTGGCGACCAAAGGTAGCACCACAGCCTTGATTTTAGAACTTGGGCAATACCAACAAAGAGAAAAGCTGTGTACAAAACCAGAGAAAACAATGGTAATAGAAGAAGCAGGAAAAAAAAAAAAAAAAACTGAAATGTAGAAGGAACGGAATTGTCAATAATAGGACTGAAAAGAGTAAAAGACACAAAGACTATTAAAAAGAACTAGTTAGAATTAAAAAAAAAAAAAACACCTTGAAGTACCATGGTAAAAATATTTTTTAAAAAAATGTACATCCCTTAAGGGGAAAAAAATGTTATCAGGATAGTGGAGTGGTCAGGGCACCTAGTGGCTCAGTGGATTGAGCGGGTTGAGCATCTGATTCAGCTCAGGTCTTGATCTCACAGTTGGTGAGTTCGAGCCCTGCATCAGGCTCTGTGCTGACGGCTCAGAGCCTGAAACCTACTTCGGATTCTGTGTCCCCCTCTCTCTGCCCTCCCCCGCTTGCACTCTGTCTCTCTTTCTCTCTCTCTCTCAAAAACAAATATTAAAAAAATTTTTTTAAAGAATAGTGGAGTGGTCAATAAAATTAAGACCAAATGGAAAGATTCAGGTTAAAATTCATGGAATAGACAAATAGGTTATAACAAATCCTGTATACCTAGTTTTTTGCTCCTGCAAGTCTCCTCCAAATAATGGGGGGGGGGGGGGGGGGGGAGTGTTACAAATAGGAAGAAGTTTCAGTAAAGGAAAAACTGAAGTTATTGTAGAGAAAAACAAACCTTTGCCTGCAGGTTGAGAGTTTGGCATGTACTTATTTTCCAGATTTGACACTTAAAGACAATATACTCACATACCTACTTACCAGTTTAACACTGGAAATAACTATCCTCTGGAGGATGAAAGATAAAAATGACCTTAGACTTGTAACTCAGATAACACAAGATGCATTTAGAGAAATATTTACAGAATACCAACCAATTATCTTGTCTAGTTGTCTGCCTTTTGAAGATGAAAGATTTTTGAGCCCTGATATCTTAGAATCTCCAATAGCCCAGTACCAGAGGAGATTATAAAAGACTGGGAATGCAGAGGAAATTTCTGAAAGTGATAGACTGGAGCACTTTGAAGGAAGTGAGTTGGTGGTACCATCTAAGAGGAGCAGCTTAGGTACTCAGGCACAAAGCACCTCAGGGCATGACCTCTACCTGAGGTTCTGCATTCTGGGGTTTGGGCCTCTGCACATATGGAAATGCAACCTTAACCTATACTCAAGGATAACCAGGGCCTAGGAAAATCTTGTTGACCAAAGCTCAGAAGACTGTCAATTTACAGACTTATCATGAGAAATAGAATTTTCAGGTGAACCAGGGGCACCTGGGTGGCTCAGTTGGTTAAGTATCCAACTCTTGGTTTCAGCTCAGGTCATGATCTCACAGTTTGAGCCCCATATCCAGCTCTGTGCTGACAGCGTCGAGTGCTTGGGATTCTCTCTCTACCCCACTCTCTCTGACCCTCCCTCTCTTGTTCTTTCTGTCTCTCTCAATAAATGAATAAACTTAAAAAGTTTTTTGTTAAAAAAAAACGAATTTTCAGGTGAACTCAAGTGTTGACTAGGCATGAGTAAAACTTTTGTACTTTCTCTTATGTAAGTCACATGGGGGAAAGGGAATTAAAATTACTGTATAACTTTGGTACATTAGAATAGATTTAGATTTACACTCAAGGAGTGTAAGTGATTTTAAGCAGTGTTTCTCTGCTAAACTTGGAAGTAGTCTAACGTGGTATAGGGATGCTTTCTGGGGGACCTAAATGCTTGACATTCACTGGTGCACTGTAGATATGGCAGGAAATGTATGCTTAATTCTGTACATATACTTTATGCTTCTATACAAATGGACTTCTAATACCTGCTCCCTTTAAATCCTTTAATACCAGGGAAGCCTGGGTGGCTCATTCGGTTAAGCGTCCGACTTCGGCTGAGGTCATGATCTCACCATTTGTGAGTTCGAGCTCTGCGCCGAGCTCTGTGCTGACAGCTCAGAGGGAGCCTGCTTCAGATTCTGTCTCCCCCTCTCTCTCTGCCCCTCCCCCACTTGCACTCTGTGCTCCTCTCTCTCTCAAAAGTAAACATTAAATCTTTTAATACCGTTGGCTCTACCAGCTTTTATAGACATAGACAAATACTAGTCAGATACATCACTGGATTTTTTCTTTTACTTTAAATACAAAAAATTTAAAAGATGCAGAAAATTCTATAATGAAGACTCTGTCCTCCTAGATACCTCATCCCCTCACCAAAAGCAGCTCATGTTATCAATTTCTTAGGCATCCTTCCAGAGATGCACACATTCAATCAAATTCCTGTATTCTTTAGTAGTGAAATATACCAAATCCAACTCATAATAGATGTGTTGTGGTTTTATTGGCCTCTGACAAAGCAGAGAACAGTCAGCTTGGACTGAGCTGCAGAGGCTCCACATCTGCTCCTGACTATTAATAGAGACATAGAACCTGCCATCTAATTCTTTTAGGCTCAAGTTATTGCAGTAGAGCCAGGTCCTGGCCAGCCTAGTAAGGCTACACTGTGGCTCATCAGCTGAACCTCAGTCACAGGTCTGAGAGAATAATCTCTTCTGCAGTTGTTTTCCTATGCTCTAGCTAAACAAACAAGGATGTATCTTGGTTTTCTTATATTTGTAATTCATTCCTGAGACCATCTTTGGTTATGCTTAGAAGACAAAAAGATTGCATCTTCTAAAGCACATACTGTTTGGGCACTGTCCCATTTGGGCAGGGTCTTGAAAGACAACGTGTAAATTTTCTATTTTATTGTCAGAACAATGAGCCAGAGATCACCTAGTTCAGAGTAAAGTTATATTTGGTGAATATATATTTATAACAATTATTTTAGGTGATACATAAGTAAAAAGCCTGATTGAAAGTCACTATGTTCATTTGCCTTGGTGTATGTTTTGTAGCTAGTTGTTCTTGGGGTCTCACTGTTCAGAGCTGTGAGTGCTTTATTAAGATTTATTTTTATGTAGGCATTTAGTCACACCTACCCTTAAAAATTTTTCCATGTTAGGCTCCAAAGTAAATCTACAAAAAGCAGTAGCTTTTCTCTATGCCAGGAATAACCAGCTTAGAAAACATAATGGAAGAAAAGATTCCATTCATAATAACAGCAAAAGTACATGTAATAACTAGGAATAAACTAAAGGAAAGTATAAAACCTGTATGAATATAGCTATAAAGTCTACTGAAAGGCATAAAATGAAACTAGAATAAATGAAAAATAAGTTCCCTGAAGTAAATTTAATAAATTTACTATACTATACTATACTATAAATTTAATATACTTTCAGTCAACTTCCCAACAGGATATCTTTTGTTTATCTGAAAAAAAAAAAAAAATGGTATAAGAAAGCCTTGAGGAGTACCTGGGTGGCCCAGTCGTTGAGCATCTAACTCTTGGTATCAGCTCGGGTCGTGATCCTAGGGTCATGGGATAGGGCCCCATGTTGGGCTCCGTACTCTGAGTATGGAACCTGCTTAGGATTCTCTGTCTTCCTCAGCCCCTCTCTCATATGCATGCACGTGCTCTCTCAAATAATAATATTAATAATAATAATACATAAAGACTTACTGAAAATATTAAAAAAGAAGAGTAATAATGGAAATATTGCCCTATCATGTATTAATTATTGGTATGATAAAGCTATATTAAAACAAAACATTGCATGCTGGTGCAGGCCATTATCATAGATAGAAAAAAGTGAAGGGACTGCAGAATCCAGGAACAGACCCAGACATATGTAAAAAGTGACTCTGAAAAAGGTAGAATTTTAAGACTCTGAAAAAGGTAGAATTTTAAGACAGTGGAGAAAGAGCTTTACAAATGCTTTTGCAATAGATGACTAACCATTTGGAAAAACAATTTTAGGCCTTTTTTCCACGCAATAGTTTCTAGATGGGTTAAATACCATGTAGGTATTAAGAAAGAATATAGGTGAGAATTTCTATTATCTGATGTGGGAAAATCAAAGATAGAAATCATAAGGGAAAGGCAACAAACTTGGTGGCAATAGGGCCAGGCAGAAAATTGAATCACTCAAGTACACTTGGGTAGAAAACAAAATCATACAGTCCTTGATTTCTTCCTTCCTTCCTTCCTTCCTTCCTTCCTTCCTTCCTTCCTTCCTTCCTTCCTTCCTTCCTTCCTTCCTTTCTTTTGATAGAGGTAGAAATATTTATCTACTTTGAGAAAAGTAACAGGATAAGTACAAATGACCTACTGACATTTGGTTCAGAGTTAGGGAGTATTAGGGGATAGTGGAAATTGTGACAA